TGTTGCGGTGGAAGGTTTCGGTAGCAACACTTACGGAGCAGCGTGTTTGGATAATTTCAACCTACGACGAAGCGCTCGTTTAAACTCTACACTGCAAACGCAGGCCGGGCCGGGGTAAGTTTGTTGAATGAATCGGATGCAGCGAACGCTGTGCCAGTTTGCAGCTTAACAATAGCTATGATGTGGTCTGCAAGCGCTACCAGTGCATTCATTATTTTCTCGCCATTCGGGCAGTGCATATATTGCCGTACACATTTTAAGTAATAGTAACATCGCAGCGTTCCGAGCTAAAATGGTTCCCGCAGCACATGTCATAAAACGGCATCACTAACTTCTGTTTATGGTACGCGGTAAACTGAAATAAATAGTGTCCTATTTTCAAAAATAGATGCATGACTTCACTTATGCACGTCGGACGCTATGTTACAGCCATTACTGACGTCCTACGGGAGTGTTTGATTAGACCTACAGTAGATTGTTCAGCTCATGAAATATTAACCAGAATACTGAAATGTGTTTCCGATTGGAAAAGATTACTGTAGTAGGGTTGTAATGTTAACCATCCTGCAGCATAATTCCAGGCTATTTCAATCACATCAGGATGCCGGCTTTCGGTCAAGCCTCATTCCAGCCGCCCGCAAAAAACAACGCTATAAAAAGGACTACTTAAATAGCAAGCTTTTAGCTCGTGGATTTTTGATGCCCTTATAAATTCAAACATAGTCTCTAGAGAGCATGCACAAAAATATGCTTTCTTGCATGTATTTGGTAGCACAGTACATTTTCTGAATTATCTATACATGGAAAGGCGTAATTTACGGTTTTAAAATAGTTTAAGGCCGTGAAATGTCCAATCCTAAAGCATCGTATTTGTCTAGTTATTAGTGCCGCTTAATCCAGATCCAGTGCAAAATGTTATGAGCCGCATAGCACATCCTTTTAACTACGTATAGAGATGTATGATTCTGTTTACGCGAAAAATATGTACCTTGTAGTTTTGAAATACTCTATGACAGGGTGGCAGCAAGTCGTGTTCACATGCATTCGAGAAATGAAGTGTTTTTAAACAGAGAGATACTCTTTTTTGCGTATAAAATTTGACTAAGACGTACAACTTATTTTGGTGCATGTCTTCTATAAAACATATTTGAACGAATGAGTTCCGTTAGCGATCGTTGAGCGTGGATAAACGAATGTTGCGGTTTTCCCTGTGTGTGTAAACCAAGAAGGCACAACACTGATGGTTGCGCAACAACTAGGCGTGATGTGCCCTGATCTGACCTGGTTTCGAGAGCACAAGCGCATTCTGTTCTGCGTAGAAGATCCGTCGCCATGTGCGAGAGCGCCTGAGGACTACACGCAACAGAGTACCAAGGTAAAAAGGAACAGGCATATATGACTGTGCTTGACCAATAGGCAGTGTTAGACAATATGTCTGTGATACAAGGGCGAAGAGGAGGAGGAGGAGAGCAGAGGTTTGGCACATAATCTGGCCCAACAAAATGCGCAATTTGATCATGGTGGCATTGTGACGCCGCGGTATCCCTATATTGCACTATAAAATAAGATTGCCTTGACAACGCTGCTCGGTGCGGGCTGGGAGTAGACATCCAAACATTAAGTTAGGGGATAAAGAGCCCAACTTTTGTCAGGTCTCTGAACGTCTGTGGGTCCGTAAATTCTTCCGTATATACGCTCGCATCAGGCAGACTCATCAGCATTTTCTACAGGCCGCCCAGATTCACTTTTTCCTTACTATATTATCGTTACACACTGCGCCAATTATGTGTGATAACTTTTGGAAACAAAGTTGTCGGTCCGCCGAAAGTTCAACAGATCAGCCGTCAGGAAAATACACGCGTCATGTGGGTCAAGTCGAAGGCAGTATCAATTCACACACACGCATACAGGTGAAAGGCGTATCTCCACGAGAATTCGGGTCGCTGATTCCAGTCTGCCTGACCGCACAAAGATCCTCGACTGCGCGTTTTCTCTAGTTGGCATAATCAGCTTTTTGGATGGTTTTAAAGTTGCAAAAATTGTCATCAGAGAATGTAGAGGGGCAGTTGGCGAACACACATAAGCTTGCTAATACAAGCGAACATGCGAGTCCCAGGAAGTAATTGAGAAGTAGAAG